CGAGCAGAGGAAAGGGGAACTTGCTGTGGGCATTCATCCCAGCGCCCAGTGGAGCAAGCTCGAACTCGCCAGCTCTGCGTCCAGTGAGCAACATCTTGAGTTCCTGGGTTTCTGTCCTTGGAGCTGTCAGCTCTGACCATGACCCCGAATCAGATTAGCAGCCTCCTCCCAACTCACGTGCTCTGGGTCAGAGTCTGCGGAGACCAGCCATTTGGAAAAACCCATCTGCTGCCTGATGCACTAAATTCAGCTACGGGGACCAGCTTGGATGAGGGAGGGGGCAGTGGGAGGGGAGGGGTGACCTGCAGCAGGGGGCTCCGGGGTGAGAAACGCCCAGGGTGAAGATGTGGGGTGCGAGAGGGTGCTGGTTATAGAATTCTCTGTGCTTTTTAAACATTAAAAAAAATAAAGTCCTCTGCCCCCAGATGCCAAAGATGCAACTGTGGAGAGAGGTTTCCCCAGACCCCTGCCTCTAATGGGGACAAGCAGGCAGGACCAGCTCCAAACTCTGCAGGGCCCAGTGCAAAGTGAAAATGCAGGATCCTTTGCTCAAAAATTAAGAATTTCAAGACGGTGACCATACAGCTTTAAACCAAGTGCGGGGCCCTCCTGAGCGCCGGGCCCTGTGTGACTGTCCAGGCTGTGCCTCACCCCCCTGGTCTCTCACCTTTATTCTCTCTGGTCCTTGCTTGTTTCCTTGCCTGTCCGCCCAGCAGACTGTGCGTTCCCTGAGGGCCCAACTGCCCTGCTTTTGCCCCGATGGTCTAGCACAGTGCCCTGGGCAGAGGAAGGCCGCTCTAATTGCTAAACTTAATTGTTAACAGAGAAGAAGTCAGCTTCAAAAATCACAGCTCCTCACATAAAGTGCTATAATTTAAAAAAATACATAAAAACAGAAAATAACCAGTGCTGGTGAAGATGTGGAGAAATTGGAACCCTCATACTTTGCTGGTAGAAATGTAAAATGGTGGAAGATGGTTTGGTAGCTCCTCAAAATGTTAAACATAGGTGATTATATGACTAGCAATTCTGCTGCTATGTATTAAACGCCAGAGAACTGAAAACATGTCCACACCAAAATGTGAATGTTCACAGCATCATGAGTCACATGAGCCAAAAGATGGCGACAACCCAAGTGTCCATCAGTGGATGAATGAATAAACAGAATGTGGTCCATCCATACAATAGAATATTACCCAGCCATAAAGAGGAATGAAGTTCTGATAGATACTATGACACGGATGACCTGTGAAAATGTGATGCTGAGTGAAAGAAGCCAGCCACCAAAGGCCATATATCCTATGATTCTAGTTATAGAAAAAGCCCAGAGCAGGCAAGTCTTCAGAGACAGAAAGCAGATTGGTGGTTGCCAGGGGCTGGGGGGAGGGGAGGAGGGAGGGGGCTGTTAATAGGTACAGTATGAAAATGGCCTGGAAATAGATAATGGTGACCACTGTGCCACCTTGCGCGTGTACTAAATGTTGTCAGTGGTAAATGTTAAGTATATTTTATCACAGTAAAAACAATTAAAAAAATATCTTTAAAAGCAGTGTGGTACCCCTGAATTGGATCTTGGCACAGAAAAAGGAGATAGTGGAAAAACTGGTGAAATACAATAAAAGTTGGAGTTTCATTGCCACTGATGAGCCAGCGGAGGTTTCTTAGCTGTGACAAAGGTACCACGAGGGTGTGAGACGTTAACACACAGGGAAGCTGGGCGAGGGTTCCTGGCAACCCCCTCCACCACTGGGCAACTTCTCTATAAATCCAAAATGGTGCCAGAATAAAACATGTCTTTAAAGAAAATCATACATGCCTTCTGAAAAAGGGCAAGCTTGGCCTCCAGAAGGTTCTTTCATCAGCTGAGGGCCTGCATTTGGGTTCGGATTTGCAAATTGGGGAGCTGGAGCTGACCCTTTGGCGTGGGAGAGGGAGGAGAATCTGGAGCTCCCAGTCTGGGAGAGGAGGGGTGAGGCGAAGAGAGGGCCAGGGGTGAGGGGTGGGAGAGGAGCCTGGGCTGGAACGGGGTGGCGCTGGTGAAAACTCCTTGCTGGGGAAGCTCCGCGGCCCTTGGAGAACAGGAATGCCCAAGACAGAGGCTGCAAACAGATGACCCACAGGCTGAAGTCTGCCCCACAGATGTGCTACGTTGACCTTGCTTTTGTAAAAGTAATTGAGCCAATCTACAAAAAGCAGTCAATCTCACATTAAGATGGGGATCACCAACTTCCTGGGAGACATCTGAAGATCTGCTGACTCAAGATGACCTTCCCATCAACTATACGTCAATTAAAAAAAAAAAAAGACCAGCTTCCTGCGTGGCCTCTGGCTGCCATTTACCCTCAAGCTTGCACCATATTCTCTTTCTAAGGAACAGAAAGACCTCTCTGCACCATGTCAAAGTGGAAAAGTAAGAGAGAAACCAAGATTCTACTTAATAAAACTGAAAAAGGAAAAAAAAGAGAGAGAGACGCCAAGAGCATTCTCTCTTTTTTCTTACACCCGGCCGGCTTCGCTCACTTCTGATACCTACCTGCTTGCTGGAAGCCCTTATGTTCAAGAACTCAAGTCTAATATCTGACCTGTAGCCTTCGCTGCGATGTCAGCACGCCCTCCTCAGCCCACGCCCTGAAGTTTTCCCTCTCCCATGTTGGGGTCAAACACACACGTGTCCTTCTTGGGTGCGGATCCTGGTTCTGCGCCTTACTAGCTGGGTGGTCTTGGGCAAGTTGCTTAACCTCTCTGTGCCTCAGTTTTCCCAGCTGTGGGCATGACATTGTACCTACCTTTTAGGGGTTTTATGAGGATTAAGTGATGGAGCTTGTGCAAATCATGCAGACCTGTGCCTGGAACAGAACAAACAGGGCAGAGAAAATTCCAGGAGGTCACAGTGCTGTGATGATAACCGAGTGGGGGTGACTGCAAGAAACCCCACATTCAGTACTTGCTGAGAAGGAGAGGACATGTGAGCTGAGAGAGGAATGAAAAGGAACCAGCTGGGAACTGAGTGGAAGGAACAGCATGTCAGGCAGAAGGAACAGTCTGTGCAAAGGTTCAGAGGCAAGAAAGAGCTTGGCTTGCCCAAGGACCAGGAGGAAGAAAGGCAATGTGGCTGGAGCAGACAGGCAGAGGTCCTGTAGCCAAGGGGAGGTGTTTGGATTTGATGACCCTGGTTGCTGTGGGAGGGTTTTCAGCAGCCAGACATCAGAATCCAATTGATGAAGGGACAAGTGAACCTGGGAGCAAACGAGCCCAGCCTATAGCTTCTACTTTCCCACAATCCCTGTCGCAACCAGCCTGCCCCAAGCCTGGCTGTTCTCGCTCCCTGAGCGTTTAATCCCCCACCCTCCAAAACCAGACAGGAAGTCCTGAGGTGGTGCTCAGGGCAGTGAGCCCCGAGGAAGGGCAGCACAAGGGATGCAAAGTGATGTGGATGAAGGTTGCAAGGTACCCCCCACAAGAGATTCACGTTAAATCC